TTTTTTTTTTTTTTTTTTTTTTATAAAAATTCTATTATATCGCGAATACATTATGCGCGAGCTAGATTATTCAGGCAATTTTTATTTCACATCTCGAATTTCGGATCTCTCTCGTCAAAATTTAATAAATGTTCCTTGATCGATAAAATTTTTTATAATTATTCGATACGAAATCGATCAGTCTTTCGTTGTTATTATTATTATTTTTTCTCTCTCTCTCTTTACAATTCCCCTTCAATCCACTACCATCATCCATCGATTAAAAATTTCATCGTCCCTCCCTCGAAACAACGGGACGACGAAACACCGAAGTATCATTCTTCCTCCGTGCAACGAAGAAAAAGAGGAAGAAAGAAAAAGAAGAGAAGAGAAAGGGGGGAGGGGAAAGACGAGAGGAAGGAACGGAAAAGGAGGGAGAGATTTCGAGAAGAAAAATACGCGGGGAGCACGTGAAAGAGGGAAAGAATATTTCCAGGAGGGTTGTTCCTCCCTCCTTCCCTCCCTCCCTCCGTGTCGAAGCTCGCGAAGTGGCGCGTCCAACGGTGAAAAGAGGAAGGGGGAGGGGAGGGGAGGGGAAGGGGAGGTCGGAGAGAAAGACGAGGCGGAATGGTCCCACCGCGCAACAAAAGCGTGATAAATCGAGTACATTAATTCGCATTTTACCTTTGTTTGCGTTATGGAATACAATATTAAATGGAATGGGCGCACAATAGATAATGTTGGGCGCCATCATTTACGCGGCTGCATGGACGGGAGCGAGACGGGCCACGAGTCTCGCCTTTGCCTTCGCCGATTGTTACGTATCCCGACGTTTGTCCTCGCATCACTTTTTTTTAAATCGTGATCGATTCCTGCTTGTTTCCTTTCGATTATTTTTATCGATATCGATTGGTTGTATATTATCGTAAAACGGTTTGTAAACGTAGATAATAATTTTTATCCGCGTATACGATAATAAATAAATAAATAAATAAATAATTAAATAAGTTAAATAATGCGAATAATTAAAATAGATGTTACGAGTGTTTACGAGCGGCGACGAGCATCGCAGAAAGTTACGGAATGTTATGAAAACAAAATTCGGCGGCGCGCGAAATGTACACAAGTTGTTATTGTTATCCAAATTCGATCGATTTCACGCAGTCGTTCTCCGGACGCGGAACGATACGCACGTGTCTCTCTCTTCTCGTTCTAATAATTATAATAAATTATATATAATATATAATTTTATATATAATTAAATAATAATTATTATA